TTTTTGAGACGGAGTTTCGCTCTTGTTACCCAGGCTGGAGTGCAATGGCGCGATCTCGGCTCACTGCAACCTCCGCCTCCTGGGTTCAGGCAATTCTCCTGCCTCAGCCTCCTGAGTAGCTGGGATTACAGGCACGCGCCACCATGCCCAGCTAATTTTTTGTAGTTTTAGTAGAGACGGGGTTTCACCGTGTTGACCAGGATGGTCTCGATCTCTTGACCTTGTGATCCACCCGCCTCGGCCTCCCAAAGTGCTGGGATTACAGGCGTGAGCCACCGGCGCCCGGCCTGAAATTATAGATTTCTTTTGTAATACTTTCAGAAAAACAATTGCTTTCTAAAGTTGCAAATAAGGAAGGGGAATGAAAGCACATCAACTTGATTTCTTCCCTGTAATTCAAACATTCAACATTCAAATTAACTCTCTTAATTTCTCACTTAGTTGGCAAGTTGATTTATGCATAGTTGTTATTTCATTAATGCAATTTATATAGATAGACTTCTTAAGGATTTGTGTCATCCTGAGGCTGAGAACACCTCTTGCTGGTGTCACAGATGGCTCTGCTGGTCTTTTTTTAGGGGGACAAACTGAAAGGGATTCAGGAGCTTCTCTGTAATTTTGCTTTGCTGTTTTTCATGGACAAAGTGAAAGGGATCCAGGAGCTTCTTCTGTCATTTTGCTGTAATTGGACTTTGAAAGAAACCTGAAGTGTGTGGTGTGTGCACGCGCGTGTGCGTGTGTGTGTTTGCGTGTGTGTTTGCGTGTGTGTGTGTGTGTTCAGAAAGAGAATTAGCAAATGAAGGTAGGACACCGTGCATGCTCCCTCAGGACCAGGCGATGGGGCGCCCTGGCTGCCCTGGCTACACGTCGAACCAGTGGTCCCCCATGCAGACGCGGTTCCACTCGCAGCCACAGTTCCAGCACCACTCGAGCCTGCACTGGGGCTGCGGACACTTCATGTGCATGCAGCCTCCTGTTGGGGCAGAAAACAAAGGTGTGGTGGGTTCCCAGCAAATACCTGGAAAACACGCATTCCCAAACCAACACGCCAGCCTGGACATTACTTTCTAAGTGAATAATCAGAAGCAACACAAGGGCAGAGAGAAACTGAACTGAGAAAAAAAAATCAGAACGCACGATAGGGCGTCTCTAAGTTATGACATTCATTAAGAAATGAATGAAATTGAAGCATGTCACTTTTGTCGAGAACAGATTTTATTTGTAAATCTGACTTTATTCTCCTGAAATGGGATTTAGAGACAAATGCTACATGTTCCACAGATAGGGGTCAATTCCTCGTTTAAATATATTTAAAATATTAATATATTTATATTTAAATATCAAATATATTTAAATAAATTAATAAAATTTGATGATTAACAATATAATGTATAATCGTTTAAATATATTTTGATTTATTTTTGCCCTTTCTATAGTGCTACTTACTCGGCTTGGCCAATTTCATAAAACAGGAACTGGGATAGCATATTATTATTATTATTATTTTGAGATGGAGTTTTGCTCTCATCCCTCAGGCTGGAGTGCAGTGGCGCAATCTCACCTCACTGCAACCTCTGCCTCCTGGGTTCAAGTGATTCTCCCGCCTCAGCCTCTCAAGTAGCTGGGATTACAGGCATCCACCACCATGCCCAGCTCATTTTTGTATTTTTAGTAGAGATAGGGTTTTGCCATGTTGGCCAGGCCGGTCTTGAACTCCTGACCTCAGGTGATCCACCTGCTTCAGCCTCCCAAAGTGCTGGGATTACAGGCGTGAGCCACCGAGCCTGTTGGCATATTATTTTCAATGGGGAATATGTTCCTTAATGCTATACAAAATTTTAATTAAGATGAGAGGGACAGAAAGGAAGCAACCAATAATGCTAGATGTTCTATGTGTGTTATCTCATTTGCTTCCCAAAGCATTTGAGATAAGAGCATCACTCTGCTGTAGAAGTTCCCCAAGGTGAAGCACTTTTAAAGGGTGAAGACTCAGATGTAACCAAGCTCTGTGTGATTCCAACGTCCTTTCTTTCACAGAACATGTTCTCTTTGGCATGAGAGGAAAAGTCTGTTATCTTGGGACTTATTTTGGGATTATTCACCTCCCTCACTTGTTAAACGTAGACTCCATGAGTTTCTGGAGGGGAGGAGACACCCGTGCTTCAGTCGCTGTGGGGGAACTGAAGTGAGGAGGAAGTGGTTTGCATGAGGATGTGCAGAGAACCGTTTCTGTCTGAATTTATTGGATAACCCCGGCAAATGCAGTTTCTTCACTTCAATCCTGCCTATCGTTGAAAGTGCTCCATTACTCACTGTTTTTTTATTTTTTATTTTTTTGAGATGGAATTTCGCTCTTATTACCCAGGCTGGAGTGCAATGGCACGACCTTGGCTCACCACAACCTCCGCCTCTTGGGTTCAAGCAATTCTCCTACCTCAGCCTCCCGAGTAGCTGGGACTACAGGCTGTGCCACCATGCCCAGCTAATTTTTGTATTTTTAGTAGAGACGGGGTTTCACCATGTTGGCCAGGATGGTCTACGATCTCTTGACCTCGTGATCCACCCGCCTCAGCCTCCCAAAGTGCTGGGATTATAGGCATGGGCCACTGCACCCGGCCTATTACTCACTCTTACCAATTACCTTGTTAATTGATTTTTGCTGCCAAATTTTCCAAGTAATTGCTTTGGTGCTGTCTCATTTTTATTATTAGAAACCTGGCATGAGAACTTTCACTAATTTAAAATATTTATGAATATATAGCAATAGGCATTTGTTTTAAGATAACTTGTGTGCATGTAAAATCCCTGTTTTCCTACTTCTTTCTGGCTTGTTTTAAAGATCATAAATTTACAGATGAGTGGAAAATAAAGGAGAAAACTTACAACACTTTTATATTCATACTTTCCACTTAGGTTTGTGCCAGTTTCAGTACGTATTGAATAGTTGTATATTTATGATGTAAATAATACGTTATATGGTGTGACATTATAAAACCACTTAAGTTTCTCTAAAATATAAATATTTTATCATACCATAAAACAGATCATTATGAGATCATAGGATATCAAATTCATTCAAAATTATTGAGCAATACATTAAAACTTTAATGAACTCTTAAAGCAATTCTAAATGAAACAGTGAGAAATTTTCTTATTGTGATATTTAATATATATATAAGCATATATATACATAAATATATACATGTGTGTATATATATATATATGTGTATATATATATATAATTATTATTTTGAGACAGAGTCTTGCTCTGTCACCAGGCTGGAGTGCAGTGGTGTGATCTCAGCTCACCGCAACCTCCGCCTCCAGGGTTGAAGCGATTCTTCTGCCTCAGCCTCCTGAGTAGTTGGGATTCCAGGCACCTGCCACCACACCTGGCTAATTTTTGTATTTTAAGTAGAGATGGGGTTTAACCATGTTGACCAGGCTGGTCTCAAGCTCCTGACCTCATGATTCGCCCACCTAGGCTTCCCAAAGTACTGGGATTACAGATGTGAGTCACCATGTCTAGCTGATATATATGCTTTATATATATATATATATATATAAACACATAGTCCCTGGCTCTTCTAACAGTCTTCTGTTATAATGTTGGGGCAATTTAGGCCTCAGAAACAGGCCCTGCGCCGGAAACCCAGGGGCGAGTAAGTGTGGGATGTAGATGTGGAAGCTATCTGCATATGGATAGTATTCAAGGCCACAAGACTGGGCTGTGTGTTATGTGACACAAAATGCAACAGGTCCAGGCTCGCTGAGCATTTCCTTTTTTTTTTTTTTGAGACAAGAGTTTTGCTCTGTTGCATAGGTTGGAGCACAGTGTCATGATCTTGGTTCACTGTAAATTCTGCCTCCTGGGTTCAAGTAATTCTCCTGCCTCAGCTTCCCAAGTAGGGAAAAGCACCAGGGCTTAGCCTGTGCTTACAGGCACACACCAGCTTTCCCGGCTAATTTTTGTATTTTTAGTGGAGACAAAGTTTCACCATGTTGGTCAGGCTGGTCTTGAACTCCTGACCTCAGGTGATCCACCCTCCTTTGCCACCCAGTTGGGACTACAGGCATGAGCCACCGTGCCCAGACTTGCTGACCATTTCTTATCTTGCAAACTGCCACCACCAGAGCCTGGCTAACGAGGAGGCCACTAAGAGACGGACCCCAGACCTGCTGAGTAAATTCTCCGCCTGCCCTGCCTGTGACGCCTGTTGGAAGTGGGTGTTTAAGGAACCCCTTACCCTCCCCATCTGCAGACAGAGACCTGGCTGATTCTTACTAACTGTTTTGCTAAGGTTATACATCACACATGTTTATTACAGAAAAGCACAAAAAGAAATAAAGTCATCTTTGATGCTATTATGCCCAGAGCTACTGACTATGACATGGTAACATCTTGTTTCCAGTCTTTTTCTTCTGACTCTGTTTTTTCCCTTACATACATTTATTGCAAAACTGGCAGCTTGTGCTGCCACTTGCTTTGATATTCGGATTTCTCACTAGGATGGATGTAAACCTTCCCCCCTGCTTTCATGACTTCCTCATCCACACAGGCCAGTGCACGTCTCACGGGGTGCGTTTGATACACTGCCTCTTTCACTCCTCCTGCCCAGCCTGTAAGGAAGTCCCACCGAAACCCATCTTGTGAATGAGGAAACTGGCGCTCACGCAGCCACAGTCCGTGGCAGTCTTAACCCTGGTGACACTGTACTGTGGGGCTGTGTGTTGCTTTACCACGGGTTTATCACACCATAAGCCCATCTTCTCATGCTGGGCCATTAGACACTTAGATGATTTTGAGTTTACCCTGATATAAATAATGCTGCAGTTGGCACCTTTTTCCTAAAATGTGTGTGGGGGTGTGGGTGTGTTTGTATATTACGTATTTCAGGTTATTTCTTTAGGATAGATTTTCAGAGATGGATTACAGGGTCTTTACACAGGCATTGCCAAAGTGGTTTCCAGGAAAGTGATGCTAACTTATGATGTCCTCACCAATCCGGAGAATGATTATTAAAAAACCAAACCAAACCAAACCAAACCAAACAAACAAAAAATTAAGGCCGGGCACAGTGGCTCACATCTGTAATCCCAGCACTTTGGGAGGCCAAGGCGCACAGATCATCTGAGATCAGGAGTTCAAGATCAGCCTGGCCAACATATAGTGAAACCCTGTATCTAATAAAAAATACAAAAATTAGGCCAGGTGCGGTGGCTCACGCCTGTAATCCCAGCACTTTGGGAGGCTGAGGTGGACAGATCACGAGGTCAAGAGATCAAGACCATCCTGGCCAACATGGTGAAACCCTGTCTCTAAAAAAATTAGCTGGGCATGTTGGTATACACCCGTAGTCCCAGCTACTCAGGAAGCTGAGGCAGGAGAATCGCTTGAACTCGGGAGGCGGAGGTTACAGGGAGCCAAGATTGCACCGTTGCATTCCAGCCTGACGACAGAGCAAGACCTTGTCTAATCTCTGTGCTTTAAAACCTTGTCAGTGAAACACCGGGCCCATTTCTCCAGAACCATTGCACATCTTCTCCTGGGAAGGGCCCTTCTGAGTTCTTTCCCTCCCAGTTCCCAGTGCAACATGTTCATCAGTGAGCGGTGGTGGAGACTACAGAAGCTCTTTCCTTTGAACTCACTGATGCCTCCTGCTGTTTATAGTTGCATGCAAATCCCTGCATTTTCTAGGGACATTGCTGCATGCCATGGAGTAATAAGGACGTGCTGGGTGAATTCTTTATTTTCTCTGCATGAAGCCACTGATCCAGCACTAAGGACTTCGACTGAGCTAAGCCTACACCTGCGGCTCTGGGATATGTCAAGCACACTTTTGTTTGTGTTAAGGAAGACTTCCCGAAGGACGTAACTGAAAAGAGAGAGGCTTCAGTGCCCATCCTGGGATGGCCGAGTTTCCCTCCTGCAAGCCACCTCTGGCAACCTGCCAGCCAGGGCGTAGCTGATGCTCATTGAGGAGAAGTTGGGAGAAGCTGCACCTGGCTTCGTGTCATTGCTCATCTGTGATGGTACCACTGAGTCTGCTTTGCACACATACAAGTGCATCACATTTATAAAGCACTGAGCACTGGTTGTGTTGGTTTTGCCCTCACACGTCCTGGATAGACAGCAGGAAGTCCCCCATTGGCCGTTGTGAGTCATCAGGGTCAGGCCACAGGGATCTTTAAATGTACATGAGAGTTTAATTTTGAATAACGTCGCAACGCTGAGGAAGGCTATAGACTGACAGTCGGCAGACAATATGGTCATACAGTGCAGCATCAGCACTGGGGAAGGTCACCAGGGAGGACGGAAAAACCACAGCTGCCTCCCCACTGCCACTTATCCTCAACCACATTCCATATCTCAGTTCTAGTTTCTATATTTATTTCCTTTCCAGCCACATAAATGCTAACTGCCTGCCTCACATAGCTGTGGAACTACTCACTCATTAAATATATTTGTGTAACAAAAACAACAATACTAATAATGGTAATGGGTAACATTTATCAAGGGCTTACCCTACATCCCAGGCACCTTCAGACAGCATCTCATTTAATCCTGGAATCTCTGACTGTTACGATTTTCCCCAAAGAGCCCACAACATCCTCGTTCTCTACTCAGCACAGACTCACCATTTTTTTCGACTGGTACATGGCAGCGGGGACAGGGCTTGGTGGTTTTCTTGATGGTTTCTTTGGAGGCTTCTTCCCAACGAGCCTGCTCTGCGGCTCTTTCATCAACTCTGTAGGCCTGGTTAAACAAAGAAGAAAGGCATGCAATCTCAGCTCTCTATTATTGGGATTGGAGTTTAGGGTTCCCTGTATGCTGGTACAGGAAACTGTTGAAGACAGGAGTGCCTTCGGGCAAAAAGCCTAAGTAGCAACACATTTGACAAACAGTAGCCACAGCTACTAGGCAGATGGGGACGCTGTCCCTGGCTTGTGGCATGTGCATAGGAGCGGGGAAAACACTGTTCAGTTCTGTACTGTGAGATCCTCTATTCTGTTGTTTTGCATAATTGTAATAAATAACACCTATCAGGTGCTTAACACGCAGGCAAGGTGATCAATGCTCATATACACTCCTCATCAGACACTTCCTCAGGTGGGGAGTATCTAGTTTTTATTTCACATTGAAGATTAGATGGGTGAAAACATGGCCCAAAGCTGGTAAGTAGGAACATCAGTTGACTCCGGAATCTTTGATTTTAAACTTTGCTCCACATCTTGTTATCCTTCCTTGCACCTGGCAAATGGAGGACTCCAAACGTTGTCACAGAAGGGACAGGAGCAAGCACAGGAAATGAAGTCGATGTGCCCGAGAGGGCAGTGGGAGCTGCTGATAGGTGGGGGTGAAGACTGTGGCCCTGGAGCCGGCTGTCTGGTTCAAATCCCAGCCCCACCCAGGGGAGTGACTCTGGAAACATTCCCTAAGCTCTCTGACAGTCCTCAACTCTTAGATGAAGAATGCCTTCTGCATTGGAGGTATGGAGGATTCTATGAGTTAATTTCTTCAAAGTCTCAGAATGACTCCAGTGTGGCAAGCTCTTGAACACGTTCAGTGACATTAATCATGTCACGAGGGCTGGGTAACTGCACCATTATATACAAGCAGGTTTTCGGGTGGGAGAGGAAGCAAGAAGTCCTGGGCTGGCTGTGCTCAGGATCTGTGGCCTTAAGGAGCAGCCATTCAATGATTATCCCTAGCTAAGATGCAGCATCATCAAAAACACGAATCCAACCTTTGTCATTTCACTTTCGAATTCTAAGCCTTTGTGAAATGTTAAAGTTTTTGAGTCTTTGTGCATGAAGTATGATGAGGAAAACAACTGCGCTGGATTTAATAGTTTCTATGGGAAGTGGCGTTCATGTTTCTGTTATTTCGGTGGAAAGCGAATTCTTCCAGGGCCCAGATCACGTTTGAGTCATTCTATCTCCAGTTTCTGGCATAGTGCCTGGCACACAGCAGGCACTCAGTACCTTTCAGCTGAGTGAATGAATGAATGACACAGCCCAGGAAGGCACTAAGCTTTCGGTCATCCAAAATAGGACCCCGTGAAATGGGCGGGGCACGTGGGTGCAGCCCTGACAGTGATGGGGGCACCACAGACAAGATTTGCCTAGGGCTGGTCGGTGGGTGAAGCCAATTTCCTTTCTTTAATGAGCCATCATAGGCACAAAGGAAACATCCTCTGATAACTGCAAGGGTGTCATGTGATTTGTGAATACTTTCTTAGAATAGCGTGGAGTCAGTTGAGCTGCCAGGATGCAGCAGTGGGTCACTGAATGCTTCCTTAGGCTCCGTGACATCCTAAGACCCACTCATGGCAGAGGTCTAGTGAGGACGCTGTGGTTAGTGAAGGCCATTTCACGATTTGTTAACTAGGTATGTGTCTTCATGATTCGTCTTCCAGTCACCACAGAGTCAAGTGTGATCCTAACCCTCAGTGATGTGGAGCAAACACCCCCACCCCCACCCACATGCACCCCCACCTCATGTTTCCACGCTTTTCTTTTTCAGGCCTAGGAGCCTGTAGCTCTGTAGCATCGGTTTACAATTACTGGTGGCAAGTTGCTAAGTCATACAAATTGGAGAAAAATATGATTTTACTTACTAGAAAGTAATTTCAAAGTGCCATTTTTTAGCAACATACTGCATGTGGAGGACAATTTCTCCCAGGTCCACACACCTAAAAACGCTGGATCAAATATGGAAAAATAAACGTCTTTTTAAATGCATGGCTGATAGGGTGGGAAGGTAAAGGAAATCCTAAAAGACAGAGTAAATCTTCCTGGTTTGGGAGGAAGGAGCCGGGCGTTTGCTGTGGGGCTGTCTTCTTAGTCCCAGCTGCCCACCATCTGGGTCTTCCCAGGCCCTAAGGGCACAGGCAGGAGACAAAGCCTCGGACTGGAGCAGGGTGGGAGGTAGAACCCAGTTTTACTACACACAGAGGACCTGGACTCCTGAGGATAATGTCCTCAGTGGCGGAAGCTGGGGAGGAAGCCTGCCCAGAAGAGAGAATTGACAGCTATGTGCTGGTCTCAGGCTGCGTTCTGTGACGTGGCAGGTTTGGAAAACATTTTTCTGAACATTCCTAATCATCAAGCCTCAGACACAGGGTTGGTGAAAAGAATTCATCCTATATATGATTAGCTTTAAAAGCCCTCAAGCAAAAAATTAATTTGAAATATTACCAAATTGGCAGTATACCCAGGAACCAGGCTAAAGCAAAAGTGTCTTCTGTGTAGAAAAGTGCTTTAAAAAACCAAACCTCAAAGAAATCAAACAAACAAAATTCTAAGAAAGCTGGGATCACAATAAAAAAGTTAACAGGCTAAAACTAGCTACATGAATGAAAGTCACAGGATTACGGAAACTACAGAATCTAACCAGCCAAGGCTGTCGACATTGGAATGGCCAGATACAAAGTATTGGCCAGGTGTGGTGGCTCACACCTGTAATACCAGCACTTTGGGAGGCTGAGGTGGGCGCATCACTTGAGGTCGGAGGTTCAAGACCAGCCTGGCCAACATGGGGAAACCCTGTCTCTGCTAAAAATACAATAATTAGTCAGGTGTGGTGGAGTGCACCCTTAGTCCCAGCTACTTGGGAGGCTGAGGCAGACATATTCCAAGCTGGGAGGCAGAGGTTGCAGTGAGCTGAGATTTTGCCACTGCACACCAGCCCCAGTGATGGAGTGAAACTCTATTTAAAAAACCCTGGCCGGGCGCGGTGGCTCAAGCCTGTAATCCCAGCACTTTGGGAGGCCGAGGAGGGTGGATCACGAGGTCAAGAGATCGAGACCATCCTGGTCAACATGGTGAAACCCTGTCTCTACTAAAACTACAAAAAAAAAAATTAGCTGGGCATGGTGGTGTGTGCCTGTAGTCCCAGCTACTCAGGAGGCTGAGGCAGGAGAATTGCCTGAACCCAGGAGGCGGAGATTGCAGTGAGCCGAGATCGCGCCATTGCACTCCAGCCTGGGTAACAA